ATTACACAAATAATGAATGCTTTCATTTGTGCAATAGTAAAAATATTTTATTCTGTGAAAGGTGGAATTTTCCATTCCACTCGGCTGTCGCCTGATGATGAAAAATTCCATCTTTCACCTCATGAAAATACTTTTACCATTGCACTCTTTTACTCAAGTTTTTTAAGTCGAATTTTTTTTGCAGTGATATACACCTGTATTCTAAAAGCTCACTCACACTTAATGAGTGAAGGTTCAATCTGAGCTTCCCTTGAGTGTCAATGCTGTTTTTGAATAGCTGGAGGGTAAGTAGTCACATAGTAAGGTACGACACTAACCCTCCAGCTATTCAAAAACAGCATTAACACTCGAGAGAAGCTCAGATTGAACCTCCACTCATTGAGTGTGGTTTTAGAATACAGGCGATAGTGTATAGTTTATTGTCTTGTATTGTTATGATCAACCAATCACATAGCCTGTTCATATTGTCACGAGGCGACCCATAGTCCGACAATGCTATCTTGAAAGCACCCTAAGACTTTAAAAAGACGCATGTAGAAGCTGTTTAAATAGCTCGGGTTAACGTATATTGTTTATATAACTGTTATTAGTCAAACTAGTTAGAAATTTTTAAAAAACATTATATATAACCTAAACAGAGACCAAACTATATATTCTTATAGAAAAGTATTTTTCAAAACGATTCTAAATCTGGCTGAATGGACAAGTTAAACAAATTCAGTCTGTTTTTGAAAAACTTTATATATTTTTGTGCAATTTTGTTGATGAGCTTTTTAAAAGCTCAAAATTTTTTGTATATTAACGTATTTTTTGATGTGTGTGATGCTTAGCGTAGACCAAACGATGTTCAACATCAAAATTTGTGAATTAAAGATGTTTATGTTATCATTTGTTTAATTTGTGAAAATAAGACGCTGTCTCGTAAAATCGTCATATCAACTCACTAGCTGACCGAATATGGAGTTGTGACATCATAACGGATGAGTGACGTCATAACGCTGATATGAAAAATCATATCAACATTATGACGTCATGCTGTGAAAATATATGGATACGAAAACATTCTGGAAATGTTTTGAAACATCTTAACGTCATATGAAAGAAAAAGGAAAAGACTTTGTGCAAATGGGAAATAGAACGGACCAATTCAATATTTCGATGAATTGAATGCACCGGTCCGGATTCTTTCTTAATTTTATCTTTTCAATAAACACTAAAACAATTATTGGATTCGGTTTCAGGGTGCGAATTAACGACCTACAAATGACAAATCGTCATGCGAAAAAGCAGTTTTGTAGGTCAAAACATAGCTGCCTGCAATTTCACGGTAACAATTGTAGGCCAACTTTTCAGTCATTTTTAAACACTGAGAATCGCTTGCCGGCTGGATTTTTAAGATAAAAATAGTCAGGAATTGCGTGGCCTGCCCGTCTGATATATGTTTTCACGCGATTCCATGAGGGCTACGTCATTTCTCAAGAAAGTATTCTGAATAAAACATTTCAACAATCATGCAATTACGGTTCAACTTCAACCGACCTTGCAATTCAAGAAGCCAATATCTTAAAGTTATTTTGCAATAATTGTGGCAAGGACGATAGAGACTAATGCCTAAAGAGGGTTGGTTTAATAAGCTTGCATTTCAAAGCAATTACAATCAATGAAATTCAAAATCAATCGGTAAAGAATTCCAATGTCAAAAGCAGCAGACACGTCAAGCTGTGCAAGAACAGTTGGTATTCATTAATTTGACCTCAAACCTCTGGGAGGCATTCGAACTATTGTAGATTACTGCAATGTGCTGACTATAGACATTGTGCTGACTGTTGAGATGTCTAGGAGAGTGAAATATTTTCTGTTACTTAAGTTAAGCCAAGATATTATGTTGCTTTAGTGTTCAGAATTTATTTTTGTCCACAGTAACCATGTAACTCCATTTAGATCATCACAAGCAACCTGCATGACTGTTAGAAGACCGATTTGCACTACACAACTTTTAGACCTTTTACCCAAAACTGTCACATACAACCTGCTTACAACTTGAGTTGTACTGTGTAAATCAAGCACACAACTCGTCTACATTGTCTTAGTTTCAGGTAAAAGTTGTGTATAGTATAAATAGACCTTAATTAAAAGTCTAGGGTTTCCATGATTTATTACGTTGCTACCACCTACTAGTATGTTATCGAGAATTCTTCCTATTTAAGTAGTCACCCAGTTCTGACCTCACTACTGAATATGAGGAATCAACTATTTTGTTGTGGTGACTGGATAGATATGACTATGATATGAGTTCCAGCGCTCTTCCCTTCACAAGTAAAATCGTCTGGCGTTAGACAGAGTAAATTATTCTGGTGTAAAATGATAAAGTAGAGCGCACTGGGGCACAATGCAACTTAATGGGTAAATAAAGTAGAGTGTATTGCCATTTAAAAGGTTAAGTTTTCCACATTATAGCATTCAGTAAATGCATTGCTATGCAGGATGCCCATTAAATCATGCCGACCTTTTTATTTGCCATTGATATGTTATTCAGAATTTTTTGCATTTAGTTAAGGTGTTTTGTCTTGCATTCTGTGTTGTGAATTTGAATTGGCTAAGTCTCAGAAACCTGTTTTCCATAGGTTTCATTGCAAGGTGGTTGTGATACTGGTAGTGATGGTGGTGATAATGATGGTGTTGATGAAGTGGTGGTGATGCTCATGGTAGTGATGAAGTGGTGGTGATAGTGGTAGTGATGATGATGGTGTTGATGAAGTGGTGGTGATACTGGTAGTGATGGTAGTGATGATGATGGTGTTGATGAAGTGGTGGTGATGCTGGTAGTGATGATGATGGTGTTGATGAAGTGGTGGTGATGCTGGTAGTGATGATGATGGTGTAGTGATGATGATGGTGTTGATGATGATGGTGTTGATGAAGTGGTGGTGATGCTGGTAGTGATGATGATGGTGTTGATGAAGTGGTGGTGATGCTGGTAGTGATGATGCTGGTAGTGATGATGATGGTGTTGATGAAGTGGTGGTGATGCTGGTAGTGATGATGATGGTGTTGATGAAGTGGTGGTGATACTGGTAGTGATGATGATGGTGTTGATGA